GTGATCCATTTTTTTTTTTTTTTCTTAATTACGACTCCTTCGTTGTTGGCTCGTGTCTTTACGTCTGACCAGTGTTTAAGCATGAGGCTCAAGGGGGTGGTGACAGTCTGTCCTATGGCTGTTTTTAGGAGGAGAACGGTTAAACAGAAAACAAAAAACGACAGACCAATATAAATAAGACTAACACTCGCTGCGCGGCTTCGGTTCCAAACCGAAAGCAAAACCAGAAAAACCATGCCCCCAGAGGGGTCTTCAGACCGTGCCCCCGGAGGGGTCTTCAGACCGTGCCACAGAGGGCACTACAGACCGTGCCTCAGAGGGCACTACAGACCGTGCCTCAGAGGGCACTACAGATTCCCGTGGAACTTCTTCCAGGGTTTCAGATTCCCCTGGGACGTCTCCCAGGGTTCAGCGGCGAAGTCCAGGCCCGTCGGCCTCCTCTTTCAGATCCACTGACACAGACAGATTATCAGGCGCAGGCGCAGAGACAGACAAACAACATTCAACACTCAGGCAAACAGACAACACTCAGACTGGACAGGGATGACATAAATCAAGGCCGGCCGGCTTACCTCCTGATGGTGGGTCGGTGGTTTCAGGGAGGGGTCTCAATCCCCGTACGGGCCACCAAATGAAAGACCCCCGGCTGAGATCTTTCTCCGGGAGAGACCCCAAACCCAAGGAACACACCGAAACCACAGATCAGATGCAGAAGCAAGAGGGTTTATTTAGACCAGGTACCTGGGGCGAAGTCTCTTGGAGGACTTGCGCCGGTCATTGTTAACTCTTTTAATTATGAAATATATTTCCCAGTTCAAAATATGACCAACAATAAAGTATTACTGAAATGTACATGGTAAGTTAATGCAAATTACATCATAGTGCACTGTTCTTAGTCCTAATGCTTTACATCACTACAAAGATGAAGAAAGCAATCTTTAGGGAAAGAGAGTGAAAATCAGTCTAAAGAAACTTAGTTTCCTGTCATGATTTGATTTTGTCTTGCCTCCTCAACCACAAGTGGGTCCTCATTCATTCAATCCCTTTCTAGCAGCTATGTGGATATTAATTACTATTCTAATCTATAATTTATTCATTTTGTTTGCTTTGAAATTTTATGCATTTTAAGTATTAATTGTATATTGTTGACTCTTTGTCTCTGTCTCTCTCTCTCATTCCCTTTATTTCTCTGGCAATGACTGTGATAAAAATAGGGAATCTGTTTACACTAGTGTCATCTTGTTAAATACATCAACACCTAAAAAAGAAAAAAACCTGCCTTACCGGTTTCTTAACAACCCATGATAATCATTACTATGATGTTAGTTTACATATCATTTCTCATTGAAAGAATTTTTTTTCAGTTGAAGTATTTCTGAATTTTCTTAGTTTTTTGTTTTTTATGTTTAACTACTAATAAATCATAATTATAGTTTTTGTTAATAAGAATTATATTTCAAAAAGTATATAAATACATAAAATATATCCAATACTAAAAGTTTAAAATTTAATGTGACTATACAACCTTTGTTCTAAGTGATTATTCAAATTATATAGAAGTTCATTGATACGTACAGAGTTTGTGTCTGTTTAATTTGGATATGTGATGTTTTTCTTAGTATATTTTTAATAATAAGATATATGCATTTCAAAACAAAATACAATTAAAATAATTATTAACTAAATTTGTTCTTTGATATTATCATACATGTATAAAAAACATAATTGATCTCACTTCCCATCGCTGTCAAAACCCACTCTTCAAAAGTGTCTTCCCACATTTATGTGATTTTTGGTGTGTTTTGTGATCTGCCGAGTTTAAGCAAGCCGTCTGTGTGATCATTATTGGCACCATGCACTGGAGCTGAATGTGCTCACCCACTTTACAGGACTAAATGAAGATGACCCAGGGAGAAGCCAGAGGTCATGGTGGAGACACAGGTCCCCTAGGGGTGTCTCCCTCCATAGCTGACTGGGGACATGGGGTGCCTGCAGTTTCTGTGGGTCCAAGACTGTGTTCACTGTGTCATGCTAAGAAGAGGGCATTGTGCAGCCTGTCTCTCTATTTTGGCTCTCTGTTCTTTCAACCTCCTTTTCCATGGTGTTCCCTGAGATGCACGGGAGGGTGATATAAATGTCTTGATCCCACAATCTTTGGCATCACTTCACAGTCTGAAACATGCTGAACTTGAATATATTCACTTCTACAATAAGCAAAATCAAAATTCAACCTCATTCCAGGCGGTGGTGGCACACGCCTTTAATCCCAGCACTCGGGAGGCAGAGGCAGGCTGATCTTTGTGAGCTCGAGGCCAGCGTGGTCTACAGAGCGAGATCCAGGAAGGGCACAAAGCTACACAAAGAAACCCTGTCAAAAAAAAAAAAAAAAAAGTCAACCTCACTGTCATTTAGCTTAGTAAACATTGTTTCTTGTTATAACCAAACCTGACTGATTATTCTTTTTGCATTTTTTTTCAAATTTAAAGGCAAAATGATGATACTAATGAATTGTGATTCAGATATATTCAACATATTATTTTATATACATACTATAATATTTAGTTTAAAACAAACATATTCTTCAAATATTTATCTACTTTGATTAGCATTTCTTTGTACATGTACATAATGTTAATGTTAGGCATTATTCAAAGCATACATTATATTAAGAGATATCAAGTCTCTGTTGGAAATAAAACTAAGGGAGTTTTGCAAATGGCTCTAGTATTGAGAAGTAGAACAAAACAAAGAACAAGTACTCAGGGAAGAATGACTGTAAAGTAGGTCTGCCTTATGCTGATGAATGTAGGTTTTCCCCATGACTCTCCTTAACCTGGTGGGATGAGTGTTAATACCTGCTTCTTCAGAGGAGAAAATCAAGGACAGGCTAATTAGTTGTGCTATATGCAAAAGTAAAGTGAGAATAAGATGAATTATGTATTCACAAATTACTTGAGTGAGAAGTGCACACAAACAATGAGTCTGAAGAGTATATGAGGATGCCTCAGGTCTGTGAGAGCTTAGAAGAGTTAGGAGGAGGCACCGCATGTTACCACCTCTTGTGGTGTTATTGTGCTCCCCCAAAATATTGTGCACTCTAATAAACTTATCTGGGGTCAGAGAAGAGAATAGCCACTAGATAGAGGCTAGAAAATGGTGGCACTCACACCTTTAATCCTTGCCTTCTGGAGGCATGGATCTCTGTGAGTTCAAGGCCACATTGGAAACAGCCAGGCATGGTGACACACACCTTTAATCCCAAGAAGTGAGCCTTTAATCCCAGGGAGTGATGGCAAAAACAGAAAGATATATAAGGCATGGAGACCAGAAACTAGAAGCATTTTGGCTGGTTAAACATTTGGCTGGTTAAGCTTTTAGGCTTTTGAGTTACAGTTCAGCTAAGATCCACTCTGGATGAGGACTCAGAGGCTTCAGGTCTGAGGAAACAGGATCAGTTGAGGAACTGGCAAGGTGAGGTA